GGAATAGAATAGAAAATCGTTATTCAAATAAACTTGATTTAAGCACTTTTGAATAGTCAACACTTTTTAAATCTACCGCGTATTCGGAAAGCTGTCTCATCACAAGAAGAATAAGCAAGAAACTTGTGTGTTGCTCTTTTAAACAATCCTTGTAAGTTCACATTTTACAAGTCGAAACGTGTGAATACAAACTACCAACCAGCACTAATTTATTTAGGCTCAAATATAAAAACACAATAAGATTAAATCAGTCGTAGTGATAAGAGCAGACCAGTCCCTACAAGTAGCACTCGTTTACGAGTATGACGGATGAGCCAGCCATCACTGCGCTCGACCATATTTTAGGGAACTCAATGACCCGGCCCACCACACCGCCACATGTCTGGACATTTTAGTGAGCATGACTACTCATTCCACTCGACCACGTCATAGCTACAAAAATTACTATATGGTAGTTACAGTATTCGCACTTTACATGAGGATGCATGCGGCAATCAATACAAAGGCCGCTACGCTATCATATATCAAGAAAGCAGTATCAAAAATAAATTATAACGTTGTCCGCAAATAAACTTATACTTGCTATATATTGCTATCATCTATAAATTCATCTATCCTATAATAGGCTTTTTTACATAACATTTGTTTAATATAAAGTTTGAATTGCCTCTCTGTCAGATTTAGCGTAGATTCTGGCAGTTTATTATAGAATCTTACGCAATTACCATAAACTGAATTACTAACTTTGTGTAGACGGCATTTAGGTAAAATTAACTTATTTTTATTTTTTATTGCGTAAGTTTCTACTTGTACAGTCTTTAAGTTTCTTGAAACTATCTAAGTTTTTCCTTGTATACATAATATTTTCATAAATGTACTGTGAGGCAACGGTGAGGATATTTGATTGTTTAAAGCATTGATGTAATGACTCTCTAGAACCCATACCATAAATAGAACGTATGGCTCTCTTTTGTAAAATCAATATAGTATTTACATCGACAGCTTTACCCCACAGCAGTATGCCATATGACATAATGCTATGGAAATAACTAAAATATACAAGTTTTGCCGTCGCCACGTCTGTTAATTGCCTTATCCTTCTAATTGCATAAGCAGCAGAACTAAATCTACTGGCTAATTTTGAAATATGGGGCCCCCATTCGAGTCCACTGTTATTCCTGAAAAAACTGAGTCATTAACAAAATTTACTATTTCATCATTAAACAATAGCTGCGTATTTACTTGTCTTACATTAGGAAGCGTGAATTTAATACACTTAGTTTTGTTGGAGTTTAATAATAGATTATTTCATGTGAACCAATTTAATATAGCAGAAATGGCATAATTTACATCGTCTAAATGATTACATCAGACAGCAGACTTCTAAAGTCGCGTTTCGGGTGCACACATCCGACAAATGACAAATGAGTTCTCCGGAATAGCAACATATACGCACCACGAGTTTCATATGAATACGTGATGCCTGTGATGGTGATGTTCATCATGTATACAGACGAGACGGTTGCTACTTATCATTAGGTGAGTCGTTAGCTTGTTTGCCATTGTGCAACATAAAAAATATATAGCGAATATTTTTAATACTGTTAAATATTAAATAGACTCTCTTATTCAAATTCGGTCTCGCATTTGGAAGTGTAGAATCGAGACTACTAAAATAGCCAGTGAAATTTCTTGCGAATTCGTAATATTAAGAGCTATGCTATGAAGAAATTAAGAGGATTCTAAATATATTTTTAGAAATACAAAGTTACATTAACCCTGGATTATACACGCTATATTTCCCAGGGACATTCCCACGGGAACGCCAAGACAACGAGGGTTCTCAAGACGTAGATCTAAAGTACATAGTATCTGAATACTTAACTTCAGACTTGAATTTGTTATATATACCTAATATATAATATTTATATCCGCCTGTTACCTCTTCTCGAACTTTATGTGATTTAATAAGTTCTATATAAACATAATATTATTTCCCTTAACGTTGAAATTATACTTTCGCGTGTACTAAAGAAATATAAAATATACAATCATTATAATTGTATCTTTCAAACTTTAAAAGATCTCTACACCTTTTCCCGTAATTATAACAAGTTGGAAAATAATCAAGAGCGTGCATGTGAGCACATATAATCAAAGCTAAGATTATACCTAACGAAACCCTCGGAACCGGAACACTACAGTTATGCCGCTCTTCTCTAAATAACGGTACGGCCATTTGCAGTACTTTTTCTTTGTGCTCGTAGTTGAATAGCTACTGTAGACAACTCGATCCTATTTCACGGCAAAGTTGAGCATGACTCGAATGTGACTTGCATGTTTTTACTGTTGTCTATTATTTTATATCCCAGACGGTATTATATAATAGTTTTTATTTATTTCCAACGTAACTAACCAGTAATTATGCTATATACATATATTTAAGCTATATATATATATATATAGACTATATTAAGCTATATTTATCTTCTTATACCTGGCTGATTGTTAAAAATGAGTAATATAATTTGATATGATTAGATTTCTGTATCTTTTATTATTTACAAGTTTAATTACTGATGATCTTAAACGCTTTAGAAAGAAAGCAGATATCTTCTCTGCTTATTTGTACTTCTTCGCAAATTCCGACAAGACAGTATTTCATCGATTTATCGAGTCAAAATGTAGCAATTTAGTACTGTATTTATATTAAAAATTATTGAAAACATACTTTTAATCATTCATTTGTCGTTATTATCATTTTAAATAAATGGTAAGTTAATATAATTTTAATTACTTTCTTATGTATCTGTTACTTGGTGGTTTTGTCGCGTCTAATACAATTTTCGCAAGCATTCGTATTTTGTTATAAGACAAAATATGCCTACTTGTTCGAGTAACAGTAGTAGGGGTCTATGCTGTAGCATCAATTCAGGTACATTAACCACGCTGGTTAACTCTTATTACAATAAAATAAATTTATTCTTAAAAAATATAAATGCATTCCTCTGACTCTAAAAATACAATACAATACGACCAATGGAGAAAAACATTTACAAAATAGTTTTGGGGCAATTTGGAAAATGACATGTTTCTTGTTGATTGCGGTCTGACCCGTGGTTTGACCTTAATACAATTTTTATTACAGTTTTGAGCAGCAATGATTTACTTTTGTTACCAAAAGACAGCCAGCGTTATAAATCTTCAGTTTTTGTAGTTATATTTAGTACATAAATATATCGGGAAGCCTACGTTTAATAATATCTTTTGACATGAACATATTCTATGCTCTTTTCTTAAGTACTTAATAACTTTGATGTGCAATAAATAACCATAATGCTGATTACTTCACACACTTCACACAGTTCCATCTAGTCCCAAGCTAAGCATAGCTTATGTTATAGGTACTAAACAACTGATAGAAATACTTAAATCTATTTCTTGGTAAATAATACCTACATACAAATATTTGAATCACGCGAATAATCGAATCCGCGGCCATCGGATGTTGGACAGTGTGCTACAAACGGTCGACCACTAAAGGACTTCTTGTTGTATCGCCTGTGTAAGTATCGGTGCTGAAATAAATAAGACAGATGTACTTATCTCTGTCTTATTTATTTCAGCGTCAAACAGCTTGCTTTGTAAGCTGTGTTTAGAACAATAAGATAAGGTAAGATAACAATAAAATATTTGTAATTATTTTAATAATAATAATATTTATAACATAAAGATAAATTTCATCGAAATTACACTGGTATAGAGGTATGATATCTTAGTCCTGCAGAATTGCAACGCATGAGTGGTATCACGGGCGTCATATGATAAAGTGAGGTCCACGGTACTGGAGGTACGGTACGGTTCTTATATTATCGGTAGCCGTCAGTTACTTTTCCATTCCAGTTACATAAAAAATACTAATGAAATCTTATCCATAGATTAAAATAATAATTCTATTAGAACTTCCTTAGTAGTTTTTACTGGTTTTAGCACGTGGCTGATAGTATTCAATTTATTAGCGATCGTTATCAATGTCGACTTGCGTTTGACCAATTTTTCCCGCAGATAACATCAGATCGATTATATTTATGTGGTCTAACATGAAATTAAGTCATTAGTGGTCTCCAAGTTGTCCGCTAGAGGTGATCAGATGCCGCCATAAATCAGATTCCTATCATAAACTGTTCAATAAGCCCGGACTACTGACCGGGGTAGCTTTATCATAGTTTAATAAAGTATCACCATGTAAAATGTTACAGTAAGTTATTGCGTTATCAACATTTCCGTCCTATTGCTCCAGGGGTTTGTGTATCGACTGATGTCCTACATTCGATTCCTGGTAGAATGAAGGGTAATTTATGTATTTTACGATACAGTTCTGATTTTAACAACAGATCAACAAATGATATACTTGAATACTAGTTATAAATTTCAGTTTTTGAGTAATCCCTAAATTAAAAAGTTTAATAAATTGTAACAAACAACCATTTCAATCTCATCAGCTATACAAATAAAAAAACAGCAACATAATTGTTTATCTATTAAAATAGATATAGAAACGTCAGACTTATAACACATCTATTTTTGTATTGGACGTTAAAAATCAGCTAAAATATTCTAAAAGACATTATTATTAATATACCTACACATATTAGTATAATAATTAAAAGTATACTTTATATTTTTGTTATTAATATAATCTAGGTCTTTACTTAAATAAACGTATAACCCTGTAACATGTACAAGTTTATAATACATGTGTATTAAGTATATGATGAAATCACTGGCACTAGACTTCTAATTTATGATGCCATTGTAAAATGAAGCAAATTAATAACCGATACCACAGTCCAACGAGAAGTAATAGCGCAGTAAAATTTGATTACTTGCAACGAACGAATAGAAACACGATCTCCATCAGAATACAAGTATTGTTTCTAATAATGAAACATTTAACATTAATCGACATTATTTTTATTACGAAACAAGTGACTTGTCAAATGGAAGGGTTCATAATAGGCGGTGAAAAGACAAAAATACAGCAATACCCACATTCAGTATACTTAACTATGAACTGCGATATGAGTTTTGTATGCGCAGGCTCTGTCCTAACACAGGAGATTATTCTAACAGCTGCACACTGTTTAGAAGAATGCAGGGGAAAGTCACGTGATTCTGTTGAAGTGAAGTATGGCCACGAGAGTATAGTTTCAATGAAATCAACTATGATGAAGAGCTTTATAATACACGAGAAGTACGATGAAATGACCGTTCATAATGACATTTGTTTAGTGTCAACTAATAAGCCGATTGCGTTGGGATATTTCGTGAAGCGAGTAGTCATAATGAGAAAACCGAAAGTCTCTAAATGGGCTTACCTAGCTGGGTGGGGAGGCATTAATGTAAGTTTCTTTTTATTCTTATATATATAAATTATAATTTTATTCTATAATACCAAGATTATATTTTGAATGCAATAATTCTGAGATTCTTCTTGACTAAACAAAGGCTACATTAATTAATAATTTATTAAATTAGAAAATATTTCTAACTGGAACAAAAAATACAGTTGAAGTGTGTTGCATACTCTTTTTGAAATAATTTCAATATTAGGCTATGAGAAATCAAAGAGAAATGTACGAAAAAACATTATTATGGCAATTATTATTTTATTATCTACAAGATGCCGGACCTGGCTTCAAGTCTTCCTCTATAAGCACTTTATCAATCTAAGTGCAGACAGCCGGAGCAACTTTGTTTTGTACTAAGTAAAGATATAACTAACAGTACATTAATCATAAACGAGTACTTACAATTATACGTGTTAAAATTAAATTAATAATAGCATAATTATAAACAAGTTCCTTTTATAAAGAACCCTCTATTCTTTAACGCAATTGAATTTATTTGAAATTTTACACAGTTAAACCATGACTTATCTACGGTGCTAATGCATACAGCGCAGCAGGTACAAACACCCAATGTCTGCAGACTCCTGGGTAAAATCCCAAACGGATCCTTTTGCGCTGGACCTGCTAATGAAAAAGGAATGCCTGACTGGTAAGAATGTTTCTTAAACTTAATTGGACAAACAATGCGGACACTAGATGGTAAACGCTAACCGTCGACTATATACATGAACAGCAGTACGGACATCGCGTTATCATGTGACAATTGGAGTAATAAGATATCATTCCTCTTATCCTGTGATTTCACTGCCTAATCTGCTCCCTACGACTGAATCACAGCTTAAGAATCAAACTGCTTGATGCCTGATATAGCTGAGACTGAGGAACCCACGCAGATGACTTTTCACAGTCTACCACCTTATATTTTAAACCTAATTAAAATAGGTAATGTCGAAAAAAATTCTATGCATTATTAGTTTCGGCTTAAGGAAAGAATTTCGGATGAAAAACATGTAATTATGAAAGTAAATAAGGAATGAAATTATTTGTCAAAAATAACTCATTGTTGTGCTTTCATAAGATTCTTAACCGACTAAATAAAACAAGTTAAGTTTTTTTCCCCATAATATATATAAATTACGGATTTTATTTTTGTAGATTTTGATAAATGTCTGTGAGACCAGAAATTTAATCGGTTAAGTCTGTTTTATTATTTATAAAATTATTCATTAACTTTTTTTCAATCATGTAACGTTGTTTGTTGAACTTACACGCCAATACCAATGATAAATAAGTTGGGCATATTCTAATACAATGTATTTGAAATTGAAAAGCATATCGTTTAATGCCGACCAATCGAGTAATCCCGGGCATAAACAAGAAAAGAAGTGTTGGGAAAAATAAACTATAACTTAATTAATAATTATTTATTGACAGCCTCAGTGATCTAGCGGTTTAGCACACCGCCTTACTTCCGATGGTCGGGAGTTCGATTCTCCTTGCACGGTACAAACATTTGTATTCATGAGTATGATTGTTTCTATCAGTCAGTCAGGGGTGTTTATGTTTTACGAAAATATATATATCTATGTATTTTTATCAGTTATCTAGTAACCATACAAGCTTTAGCTAGCCTAACTTGGGTCTAGATGGCGCTTAGTTCATTGTCCTGAGATTATTATATTAATTTACAGGGGTGATTCGGGCAGTGCTCTAGTTATCTCCAACTATGTTCAAATCGGCATCGTGTCATATAAAATCCAGAGATACGCCCTCGTTGTGTATACCAACGTATCATACTATTACAACTGGATTGTAGACAGCGCCGTCAATCTTGTCTGCAGGAAAAGAAATGGAGGATAGTAAAATTAATAAAATACAATAACTAACACATATGTTATAATAAAATACAATACGTAAGTTAATATATATATATATTCTAACCAGATTTGTACTCTAGAGAGCAAATTAAAATCTAAACGACGCTAAAAAGGCTATATGTAACAATTTGTATGTCTGGCTTATCGGATCTTAATGAAATTTGATGTTAATATAAATGGTTTCACGAGGACAAACATAGCTATTAACGCGGAGAACAGGCAGTATTAAATATGCGTAAATAAGTTTGTTCGTTACACTTTCACACTTTAAAGGCTTAACAGATCACCATGAAATTTAACATGTACATAATATTTAAGAAGAATATTGTTTATCTTGATTTACGATGGTCATGTGGAAGCTAGTACTTAATTAAATAAATAAGCCTGAATATATCGCACAGTGTAATCTAATTTGGCAACATGGAATAGCACATGTTGCCAAAAGAAAATGATCATACAAAGCATCATTTTAAAAATCCACAGCAATTTAAAAATGCTGGCTGAAATTATGACGATACGTACATTTGAATTTAAAAAAAAGAACAAGTAAAATAAGATAAGAAATTGATTTAAATTTGAATTGATTCGATACGTTTCCCATTCGAATTATAAAAATTATTTTAAAAACACATGATATGTTCCATTATATTTGAATGCAGGCTTCCATTAGTAGAAAAAAACAAAAGGGCGGTACCGTCTCTCAAAAAACGTAGTGTTGATTACTCTGTGTTAGAATTAATTAAAAAATATTAAATACTAGCATTATTTGTGACATTTTTGTATTATATGCATTCAGGAGTGACTCCGGTAGCACGCTCGTGGTTCTTAATTACATACAGATCGCCATAGTCTCCTACAAGATCCCAACTCTATCAAAAGAAATAATTATTTACACGGATGTCTTATTTTTATGACTAGATAAAACAATATTCTCAAATACTATATTGTGCTTAATATTATTTTGTTAAAGTTTTTATATGCAATATATTTTATTTCCTCTTTATATTCAATGTAAATTAAGTACAACATTGCTTTAAATAAGCGTGGTATTGAATACTATACCTACCTACATACCTACTATACCTACAGTAATGTAAGAATTACAATAAAACTATTAGTAAGGTATCACTAGACTTTCTACAGCCATCCTTAGCCAGAGAGCATATATTATGTATATAATTTTATTAATTTTTTCTTAACCTTATCTTTACTTTATTACTACTATTATTACTATGTAGTATTAGTTTTGTTCCCAATATTTATTAATATTTATTATACTTATATATGGTACTATGTTGGATTTTATTAATATTGTAAATATGAAACTGAGCGCGGTTTTTGTGACCTCCTATCGTTATAACTGCTTTAAACATCGTAAAATTGGTACGCACCAAATATTTATATATATAAAATTCTCGTGTCACAATGTTAGTTACCATATTCCTCCGAAACGGGTTGACGGATTTTTATATTGGGTTGATGAAATTTTATATGCATATTGAGTAAGTCTGAGAATCTACTAATATCTAATTTTCATACTTCTAAGTGATATGGGCTGTCCACCCCTAACACTTTTTTTTATTTTTAGACAATATTTTAATTTTTTAGAATGTGGCATTGAAACATACTTAAGATCCTAAATTTTCACCCTAATATCACCAACGCCTATTTTTTATTATATTTATTAGTAGCGATTTTATTGCAAAACAACCCTTGCGGGGTTAGCTAGTAATATATAATAAGGTGCCAAATACTACTCAAAATAGACATGGGCATTGATTTCTTTTAACCAGGTCAATAATCTCAATAAGGTCAATAATAATAGCATATCAAATTTATTAAACTTAACAAATATGTAAAAATTTTAATTTGCATTTTTTGAGTTTAACAGAAAATGAGTAATTATAAAAATTATTTTAAAATTAACAAATATTTAAATTTAGGATGTCTTGTGTATGTAGAAAAGATGAGTAAAATAATTAAATTTATTTATATTTTATAATTCTGTTCTGCTACTGTAGGAATATTAATTACTAGACATACACAGTTTCCCGGTTGTATTTCTTATGCAAATAAAATATTCCTATCATCTACCATGACAGGTTTCTAAATTAGAAGTCGATTTATATCAAATTCCATCTAATTAGCCCGCGGAAATTCAATTAAACGCCTATAAAAGTTTCCATTACGACTCTACGCTACAAACAATTAAGATTCTGCCGTGTTGAAATATGAATTATTACTTTGTAATAATACTACCTCAAATATTTAGTTTAATACTGAATTAGTAACAACTCATTTATTTTTTATAATTGAGAATTGCGTTTTTTTTTTTTTGGAAAAACAACTTCTTCTATATTTTAAGTAAGGTGTTATGATATGAATGTGGATAGTTATAAGGTTAAAGGATGACTGTAAAAGAGATGGATGGGTGGATGTGTAATAGATGATATGCTGAAAATGGAAGTAAATAACAGGATGAATGGAAGAGAAAAATATATTACGCCGAGTTCAAATAAATGGGATAAAGAAGAAGCAGATAAAAACAAATGATATCAATATAAGGAGAAAAATTTCTCACACGGAAGAAATTCGCGGCCAACCGCTAGTTTTTATAATAGAGCAGAAGATCTAATTATCGTTCTAAAACTAGTCTAGTTATCTGTACGTGACCATTGCCTCGTTTATGCTAGTCTACATGTGTGTGTAAGTATATACAAAATTACTATGGACGAACATCGATACTATAAAAAAAATAGTAAAATAGTGATAAAACAAACAGGTGTTGTTTAAAGGAGAAAAATTTCACAGAACCTGTTGTTATTTGTGGGTCAACATGTAGGCTAAAGAAATCTTAGAAAATATCCCTAATAAGGTAATTACCACTTTTTATGTTCTTACTTTTAAATACGTCATCGACCTATCTACCCTCTAGATGTTAATTAATTTATTAACAAAATAATATATAACGTTGTATACATGTTTTATTTATTTTTATCGTTTGTTATCATTAAATTGTATCCTTGAATATACAGACGAATGATGTCGCGAACGTCGCTTGTTTTATTTTAAACTAGCTGTTCCTGCGACTATCGTTTCACTAGCTTTTGGAATTTTTTTTTTTTAAATAAAATGCTTTTTTCTAAAAAACTATAAAACGATATAATACAAAATTGAAAAAGTAGTTCATAATTGCTAATTGTTCACATTTTTCCGTATTTCCTTATTACGTGGTGTTATCAGCTACCTGCCATCCTTTAAAAAAGAAATTTTCAATTCGAACTGTTAGTCAAAATCGGAAATATCCAACCATTTCAGAGATTAGTCGGAACAAACAGACAGACAGACAAAAATAGTAAAAAATGATATTTTGGTGTTTGTACCGTATTTATATTCATATGCATGTGGTAACAAATGGTTATTTCCATATTACAAACAGACATTCCTAGGGGTTTATATGTATATAACAGATTAGTATATTTTCCGGGCATTTTTATATATGTATATTTATGGAAATATTCTTAGATATATAAAGATGAAAAATCACATTTAACTATAAAGCGAAATTAAAAAAATATAAATTATACTACTAAGAATGGCAAACTTGCGGATAACCTACTAAATAAATAAAAAAGTTGTTTAAAGACTTATTATTATGAGTATTATTATACTTCTAACTGATGTTCGTCTAGCGTGAACTCTATATGGTATTTTGTTTGCAAAAACTTCATCAGTACGTGTACGGGCGGCGTTTTATACTACGCACCGACATGCCCAAAACATCACGGCGTATTCCATATTATACCACGAAACACGTGTGAGGTGATGTCATGCGGAGCAAACATATCTACATTTTGGCATGCCTTACTAATGGATCATAGTGAGGCAAACTCCTTATCGTTTCTTATATTGACTGGCCAGTTAATTTAACATTTTTTAAAAACTGGCTCTATGAGGAATATGGTGTTTCCTACTTAAAAGCATTTATATAAGTTAGAGAACGTTAATAAAGGTTTTTCTCCAATAAATGAGTGTACCTATATAACGATGTGATACAAAATTGAACTAATCAGCTAGTTCATAATTGCTAATTCACGCAATTTCGTCTACGTCACATTTTTCCGTATTTACAACACTGCATTACTACTACGCTCCTCTTAGTTGTAGCGTGGTGTTATATAGTCTATAGTCTTCATCGACCATCCTTTATAAACAAGGAAATTTTCAATTCGAACTGTTAGTTAAAACCGGGAGATGAGATATGGTTACGACAATATAGTGGAGCACATAAGTGGCTACCAGGAACAGTGACAGAACGTTTAGGTACAACTGATTATAAGGTTTGTGATACGTCGGGTAGGGAATCACATAGACATATCGATCAATTAAAAAGGAGATTTATATATCGAAATATAAATATCTTGACTAAAGATACGAATACGATGGATAGAATAAAGTAGCAGTCGACGAAGAACTCAAGAATAATTTCTGACATTCAGGTCAAAAATAATGTAAATAGGTAAGATATAATAATTTGTTATAAATGTATACATATAGTAATTTTATAAGACTTTGTTTTTGTTAAAGAATAGATATACAACATAATTGTAAGCTTTTAGTTCTAGATTTTTCATCTTCCGTCTTTTGTATCTATGAGGTAAGGGATTAATTGGAAATTAGAAGGGAGGATTGAAATTAGGTATATGAATTATTGACCTTTTCATTTCAATAAATTATCGGATAACTGCGTTTTATACAAAAAGTATGGTAAGTAGTGAAGTATAGCTTTCTTAATATAGTGAGACTTCATTCAGGAGCCATTCATTGTACGCCATATTTGTATTCAGTGTTGGCCCCTGGGAGCTCACCGGTGGAGACAGACAGACAACGGGGAATTATGCCTTTTGGGGTGGAAAGGAAATACTAACCGGTACTAGGTACTTTCTTTTTTGGACAGGTGCACCAGTCTGGTTTCTTATTAGG